AGACAGAGACAGAGACAGAGAGGAAGTTTTTTCATGTGGGCCACCCGTGTAACCATGTGTGTTGCATAGCTTCCATTTGTAAAGAGGCTTACTGAGCATATGTGTTGGTATTGTGAGAGTGTGCGTGTGTTTGTGTGCTCCTCGTGTCTGTGAGTGTGTGTGAAGGGGTCCAACTGCGTATCCTGGGGCCCACCTGGCAGCACTGTGCAGATTTTGGGGCCTGAGCAGCTGGCCTGGGGGCTGGTGAGGGTGTTCGGTGGGGAGAGGTTTGAGAGGGGTGTGGGGGGTCTTCCATTGCCCCTGTCCCACCAGACCCAGACAGTAGGAGGCAGATGGACAGGCCACAGCCACTGCCAGAGGGCCAGAGGGGCCACAGGGCCGAGGGAGAGGGCCAGCCAAGACCAACTGAACTCACACAAAGAAAGAAAACACGCACACACAAACACAGTTGAACACAGATGAAACACATGCAAAATACAAAACTCGTTGAATTTATACTGATCATTAGATACTGCTTATCATTCCTCATTTTTTAATTGTAAAATGGTACATGATACATATACAACAACGACATCAGATGAGAAGAACGACATAGTTGTGTTGGTGTACAGTGCATTGCGTGTGTTGTGTTATCATTTCCATTTTTAGTTGCTCCACTGGAGGATAATCACATTCTATTACAGGTTGGCTCTCATTTTTAAAGGTTTGGCCATCATTCATATTGGTTATGATAACTTTGTGTTCACCAATTGCTGAGATCAGATCCAAAAAATAAGTTTAGTTTTTTTAGGGTCTGACGACCCCCCAGGTTAGCCAGACTTTATAGAGAAAATGAAAGCTAATGGTAAAATTGTGACCAAAACTGTAAAATTGTGACTTATACAGTTTACAAATTGACTTTCTTGTTCAACTTTGACCTACCATGCTTGCTGTAGGGATTATTTAAGACATTTTTGGTGCATTGAATTGACTTGTTTAACTCCAAATAAAGTCGTTTTTAGATGGAACTGGTGGCCTGATTGCAACCTGTCTGGTCGCCCTGTACTTGTGTGTCTTGCTCTGTTCAAATTCTTTTCAATATGTCACAGGGATCCCAGATCTTAGAAATTATTTTTAGATGAGTACAAAGTTAATAGAAATTATGTGAATGATGGCCAAACCTACTAAAATAAGATCCAAACTGTAACAAAGTCGAATTCTTTAGCTTGTTCACTGATATTAGCCTGTATTTTCTATGAATAGCAATGTTGGTCTGTCCACTACTTTGGCTCAGTTTTGTACAGACCATCAACATATATAAGAGGGACATCGCATCTCCACTTTCTCCCACAGCTGCTGCCATCTTGCGCTGGTGACATCATTTGGAGCTTTTGGTAAACCCCTGCCCTTTTAGGTTGAAATTCTGGTTTTAAGTGAAATATCTGAACACCAACTGGATGGATTGCCACCAGAATAAATTGTAATAACGTTGGGGCTCTTCATGACATTTCAGCTCGTGCCATCATCAGGTCAAAATGTATTATTGTTTATGACCAAAACAGCCTCAGCTGTACATCTTGTTAAGTGCTGATTAGTACTAAATGTTAGCATGCTAGCATGCTAAACAAAGAGGGGGAACATGATAAACAATACACCAGCTAGACATCAGCTTGTTAGCATTGTCACTGCGACCATGTTAGGACATTGACGTTAGCAATTAAAGCTATAGAGTGGATGGATGACGCTACTACAGGACAACAGTGAAAGCAGGTGTGTTGCATTAAAAAATCTGAATAGAATAGAAAACACACAATTGGTATTCAAGTCTATACTGTACATGTATTTATGTAGCTATGCTCATAAACATACATCCACCAATCATCAAGTCTCTTTTTAAACGTTCTGAAGCTGATTTTAAACATGCAAAATAAGACAATGTTTCTTGAAAACTATTCCTGAAACAACATATGGAGGACTGTTTTGAACACAGTGATTTGAAGAGTTTATGTTAAGAGTGCGTAGGATTGACACAGAGTTTATTATGAACATGTACTATAGGTGGTGGTGGTGGTGGTGTGGGAGGTAGCCACCGGCTCCAGTAGTCCAGAGAGCCACAGATGCTCCACTGTTTGTGTGTTGACTCTCTGTAATTTGTTTGCTCTAATTTGTTTTGCCGTGCCAGGGGAGTTCCGATTTTAATTTTGCTCTGTGTGTGTTTACCCCTCTTTGTGGATCGCTGATCTGTTAAGCAGAGAGAGAGAGAGGGAGAGACAGTCAGTGTGGAGGGTGGGCCGTTCACAGAGCCAAATTAAAAAAGGAGCAGTGCAGATTGTTTTAAGCTCTGGCAGCCCCTTCAGGCCCAAAGGCCTCGCTCACAGCCTGCACCTGCTCCGTCCCCCGGGAGCCTGGTTCCTGATCCGTGGCCCTCGCTTCTCCTCCCCGGGCCCCTAGCCCAGCCGCCTCCTCCTCTCCTCTCGTTCCCACTCCTATTTTCATTTGTCTGCTTTTTCTCCTCCCCATCAACTTCCCTCATTTTCTTTCCCTTCTGCAGCGTTCATCCTCTTCCTCTTAAACTTTAACTGTCTGTTTCTCCCTTCCAAAAACTCCTGATGCTCCTTTCCTCCTCCCCAGTGACTTCCCTCTATCCATTCACTTCTCAGTCCTGGCCTCTTCACCCCTTCTTTCCTCTCCACCACCTGCTCCTCTCCTCCTCTTTATCCCTCCTCTCCTCTTGCTCCTGGTTACTTCCACCTTTTGTTTTGCCTCCTTGCCCTGGCTCTACTTCCACCTCACCCCCCTTGTAACTTTTCCTCTTCCAGTTCCTGCTTCTCTCTCCTCCTCTCCTTTCTCCTCCTGTCTCGCCTCCAGCAGCTGGCAGAGTCTTAATCAGCCCCCCTCCGCACCTGAATGATTGCGACTTGTTAGCCTGATTGAAAACACACAACCATACATAAAATACAGTTAGAGGTATGACAATATAACACAATTTGGGGGCTATTATGATGACTAAACTACAGTGCAGAACTCAATAAAGTGGCGTCATGACATCAACAGCCTTTTATTAACCAAATTAAACTCATAACGATGGCCTGTTTAAAATTGTCACAACTATTCTTTATTGAAATGATCCAGTCGCTCTAGTTTATGACTGCACATCCATAGGTAGTTTGATCAGTCAGCTCCACATACAGTATGGTACACTTTGTCACACATACAATATTTACATACATTACCCCAACAGTAATGCTATGACATGGTTCCAATAACAAGACATTTAGTTTTAATATGGCTTGATTAAAGCAGTCCAACTGTATATGATGCCCAGCCTGGATGAGGCGACGCGAACCACAGGACGACATGATGGAAGAAGGTTGTCTCTAGAGTCCCAGTGTCTGGATCAAACATTGGCCTTCTGTTACCAACTCACATACCTGTTTAGGCTTATCATTTGAATTATCACTTTACCAAAGATGGAAAAAATTAATTCAATCAATTACCCCAAGATGTGGTCCAAGCAGATAGTTTTGTGTGTCCAGGTGTCCATATTAGTCTCCAAGATTTCTCCCTCCACTCCAATACAATGAAGGTGAATATGATTTTGTTTGTGGTGCCCACAGTATTGAGGAATGAAACTTAAAGCTGCATTAACTGATTTTTTTAAGCACTTTTTTTAGAAGCTGCAAAAACAAGATTTTAACACTGACGCCTTTGAAGTTGATATGGTAAAGTCAGCCTGTCCTTGCCAGAAAAAATGCTGTATAGGTCGATTGTGCAAGCGGCTTATTACGACCCATATTTACATTTGTCAGGCGGTGACCTCTAGTGGCCATAGTAATTGACGGTGATAAGAATATTGAGAGACTGTGGGCCATAGAACCAAAACATGGAAGAAGACGCTAAAATTCCCCCTAGAGCTGAGAGAATCTGCAGAACTGAGTGATAATTGTCAGTGGGTTCAGTACTACTAGTGACTGCTTTCACACTACACACTGTCATTTGATTTTTTGGTAATATAAAAATACTGATTATAGCAGCTTTAAATCCTTCAAAAAAGTCCAGAAACATAGAGGTCCACAGACTTGCAATCAATTAAGTATGACTTGCGCATTATTTATGAAAGCTTACTGTGATGTGGAAATTATCTTATCCTGCCTGTGGTGAACTTTACCTTACTTTATTAGCTTTATGATAGGAAAGTGCTAGGTGATAGGAATTACTAATTAAAGGTGTGAGGAATTAATTGCCAGACGCAAGGTGTTTTGAATTTAAAACAGGATGCAATGTTCTATAAATGGTGTGTCAAATGGGAAACAAGTAACCATGGCTATTCCTGACTAACCCTCATTTGTACTAGCATTATGTAAAGGGTTTGTATTATGCTGATTGTAATTCAGGTGCCATCCATTTTAAGTTAGTTGGAGATTCATAGATCACGGGTACCTAAGTTACAAATGGGCAAGTATAAATCTAAGAACATTTTAGAAAGGAGGCCCCTGGCTGAGAACTATGGCTTTTTGTTCCAAATTCAAACAGTTGTAACCATTTGAAAAAGGGAAAAAAGTTGTATTTTTGTTTGTAACTGACGTCCTCCGAGGCGCCACAAATAAACAGAACGTCAATTTTATGGGGCCCATGTACAAAAAGATGAGTCCGTACCACAGCGGCCCCTCTCTTTCTCTGTCCCCATTTTCCTGTATATCTTCAGCAGTTCCTATCTAATAAAGGCAAGAAAAAAAGAACATCAATTTTACAAGGCAGTTTAGGATTGTGCTACAATTTAATCTGAACGGTTTACATGTTAGTTATCATTTGCTTGAACTTGACTTTTTTGAAAAAGTTACATTCCAGTTTTGACTGACTTCCTTTCACCAAAGAAATAGCCCTTGTGAAAACAGATGACTGTGTTGTGGGGATGGTATCAGATGTCGTTGTTGACTTTTGTCTGTTTTCAGTACTATGAGGACCACACACAAAATTCTTGCTTTCTTTATTGTATTGAGGCAGAAGCAGAAATCTTACAGACACATATATCTCAAAACCCCGAGACATAAAACTATTATTATGGCTCAATACAACTAGATGAAACTGAGAAACTGTTTTTTTTTTTTTTTTGGTTAACTGACCCTTTAACAAGTCACATCTACTCTATATGCACCACAATCTTTTTGACAGCGATCGTATTGCCATTATGAGCACTTCCACCATGCTGAACGTGATAGACAAAACACTTCCCGAGACATTTTGGTCCATTTTAAACCCATGGTTTAGCCACGTTTACTTCTGCTGATTTGGGATCCTGACTGTCTCTGCAAAGGCTTTTTCATCAACTGCTTTATTGATGACATTCACGCCCAGTAATATTCACATACACACAGCCAGCATAAGCAGCACAGTCCCCTTGCAGCACAATAAGTACCAGAACACTCAGCATCCTATACTACTGTTACACACAATTATATTTCCCATTCATTTGGCCTATACGGTTCTCTACCTCCATAGCAGACTGCTCCCATTGAAATACGGTGAAAATAAATTTCCACTAGTGCAAAAGAACTTCTCTCTTTGAGAGCAATAAGAAAACAAAGATTAACAAAATATATATATTTGACACATCAGATCATATAGAAAGAATGATAAAGTGGCACTGATAACAAATTATATCACAACAAAAACTGTTGCAGACTATTCCCACCCACTGTAGTCTGAGAGAACTAAGGCTGATTTGTTGCAGTATGCACGTATGCATGCATACGCACATTACACCTACAAACACACCGACAGGTTACCTATGAATGGGAACCACAATATTAAAGTGTAGGACTGAAGGACAAATAATTAAAATGGACTGCAGGTCATCACAGTGGAATGACATTGATGTTACAAAATAAAGGAGACATCAGGCTGACTGCTGACTCCATCTAGTGGTCAAATATACAAATTACAGCTCTTTACTTCCACCCAAGAGATGTCAAAATGAATGATTGGAAGCTCGAACTTCACCGATAACAAAGTGCAAGCAAATTATTACTAAATTGGAGAGAAATAAGGATGATAACTGATAAATAAAACAGGCACAAATCTGCTCGTCTTGCCCTCTGACTTCCATTCAATAGAACTACAGGTACACGTAGGGTTGTGGTCTGATGGAGACATACAATACAGTACATCATGTTTTGATACAGATTCTTCCCACATGCAGTAGCATAAAGGAAATGACGTGAGGATCAATCTGGACTGGCACTCAGTGTCATCTGTGTTGCCTCTCCAGCACACGGCTGGTTAACAGCCGAGACACGGCAGCTGTTCCTTTTAGCCACATGATCAATCTCCACCTGTTCGAAGGGGTTTGTGCGTTAAGACACATGGCGGAGTGGTGATTAGTTGCATCGTTTCATAGCAAGTGAAGTGCCACCTGTCTTGTCTACAACACTCTTCTGTAATCTCCGCACTTTTCATGAGATGAGACGTTTCCTCTGGGTTAACCTTTCACAGCACCAGCTTCTGCATCTTGGGACGAGACAAATAAGGCAAAGAGAAACTGCCACAGGGACAGCTCTGACATTACAGGAGGAGACAAACGGTACAGTAGCATGTGTATTAGAAGGTTCAGTTTGTATGCTCTGCATATTAATACCCAGTCAGTCCATCAGGAGGGTATATCATTTGGGGTATTGGAAGTGGAGGAGCTGGAATAGTTTCTTCAGCTGTGAGAGCTGCTGTCTGGCAACCTGTCCAGACTGCCAGATTTATCAAGCTAACCAACACGACTTTTCCCGACTCCTGTCAGTCTAAATCTGTCAGCCAATCACGGCCATCCTCAAGGTCAAACCTCCAGGTCGGGCATTTTTTCCTCCTTGAGCTGAATATCATTGTCAGAACCCGTGCCCACGTCCGAGTCAAAGAGCGAGTGGTCGGAGTCGGGGGAGTGTGTGTGCGTGTGTCTGGCTGAGTTGGTGCTGGCGTCGCTGTCGTCCAGAGTGTCAGTCCTGGAGAAGAGGCCAAAGTCTAGCAGGCCTGTAGGTGAGCCGCCACTGCTCTCGCTGTCTCCGTCATAGTAAAGATCCTCCACCTCCACAAACCACTCGGGCCAGAACTTCCTCCGCATCCGCTCGCAGAACATGGCCAGGTTGATCAACTCTCCTGTAAAGACATCAGACACAGCAGGTTCACACGCTCAAGCTTTTACAGGTGCAGCGAAAATTACGGGTGCTAAACTAACAATCTGAGTCTGATACAGAGGAAGACAATACATCTGGGATACTTTGTGAGACATATTTTCTGTTATCCGTTCATTACGAGCCCTTTCATCATAAATTATGTATCAAAATGACAACAGAGAACCTTCAATTGTGGCATTACAAGCTCTGATTTTTCTCTCTTTAAAGATAAGAGATTCAAGTGTTTCCTACTCTGTGTAAGATGTGAAAGCAACAATCAAAGCCTGTGTCATCAACACTGCATTGCAGTAGACTATTGCTGCCCTCTAGTGGCTGGAACAGACAAATACATCTTTGACACACCGGCAAAGGTAAACTGTAAATCACAATATAAACTGTCTATATACTGCAAACACAGGGTAATTACAAAGCTTTAAACTAAAGCAACAGTGTCTACAGTAATCACTCAATCATTTCATTCATCTGCTTAATCCATTTAGTGGATTATTTGCATATTCTGATTCACTAATATAATGTCTGATTACGTCACAGATTTACTGACCTTTGATTAGTTGTTCTGGTCGTGTCCCAGGCAAAGTCCACATAGCCTGGGCTAGATGACCAAACACTGTAGCATCTAATGTCGACATCTTAGAGCCCATAAAGTACTTCTTATCCCCTACAGGACAGAGAATACACAGCAATGTGATGTTTTGATAGAGAAATTGTTTACTTTTTTAAAATATGGCCCTATATGGAAATAAACAATCTAATGATGGAAGTCAAGTGTGCTTCATCAACAGTGCCTGTCATTCAATTGAAGTGGATATTACATTATATACATATTACTACACTGGACTGCATTTCCTACCACTAAAACTTGCCATGCCACCATTAATCCATGATTTTTAACTAATTATCTCAACTGTTTATGTGTTACTAATTATTTTAGTATTTTATTACTCTTTTCCCATTACTTTTAGCTAACAACTTTGAGCTAAGTAGCCGACTTCACCTGTTTATCCATTCATTTTAGGTAATTATTTCAAATGTTTATACTCACTAACTATTTAAACCATTTTGTATGTCCACCACCTTTAGCTAACTAATTTCCATGTCCTTTCAGTGGTAGCCCCTGGCATACCAGTTCCCCCTGGTTGGCATTCCCTTCACTAAAGTAAGTTCAAAGTAAGATATAACCCCCAACACTGAAATCTATAATAGTTTTCTGTAAAAACCAATGTTAATGAATCAGAGAAGAAATTAAACATTTGTGATCTTAAATATGATTCATGCTTAATCAATGATCTTCTCCTTCCCTGTAGCTTTGAGAATACACCTTTCATCCTGAAGGTGGAACAGCTGCACTGCAGCAACAACACACTCTAGATTCACACTTCTGGCACTGGAGTCTGGAGCACCAAAACATTAAGCTGTATGTTTGCGAAGTGTACTGATACTTTCACTCTAGGAATAACCTTTCTTTTTACAGCAGGCGGTCGTCGGTGGAAGTGGCACACACAGATCGATGCAAATTACTTTTCTTTCTTTCCATCTGTACACTCTGATATTGTATCACAGTGGCTCAGATCCAGAACTTTCCCTGTTTCCATTGGTCTCCACTATACCACACTAAGCACAAACAGGCAATGACATGACATGTTTCATGTTGAAATATACCGAAACCACATATGAATGAATCTTTGATATGTTGTCTGCATGGAAATTAAATACATTTACATGCTACTTAATTAATATTTTAAATGATACCCCTTATATCCCAGGATATATTACTGTGCATTTGTATTCTGAAATAATTTGTCAGGGTCTATTAGTCATTAACACTAATGCTTCATTAGGCCACATTAGCCTGCCAGAGGCAGCCAACAATTTTTACTTTGCTTATTATGGCCTGGCAGTGCCGGAACAAATTATCTTGATACAGATGTCACTTCAACATCACTCATATCAGCACGAATACTTCCTGTGTCTGCCTAGACAAATGACCTTTTCTTTAGGCTTTCACTGGTATTTACTTCTGATTTTATGGAACAAAAACAAAGCAGTTGTTATGGAAAGATTGTAACATTTCTCCACCACTATCCACTGGGGCTGTGTATTGAAAAGAATCTGAAGATACCATACATATCACGACACAGGGGTTACGATTCAATATATTGTGATACTGTGAGCTAGGCGATATATTGCAATTTTATTTGTCATGGTATAAAAAACATCATAGCCTTCAGTTCACAACACTGCTATCTAACAGTGGGGGTTTATTTATACTGTCAATGGTCTAATCACAAAAATTGATACAGTATCATTAGAATATCACAAAATAAAATATCACAATAAGATATTTTTCAGTATTTCACATACCCCCACTATCCACCAAACTGAGTTTCTAAATAAATTTGAGATTGTCCACTGCTTTTAGAAATGGCCAGAGATTTGTAAAAACAAAGGCATGTAATTCTATTATCTAACATTCAAAATCTGGTAATGCTGTTATCAGATTATATAACAGAGTTTGGGTAATCCATTGTATGTTACCCCTCATAAATTTGATGAGTTAAGTGATAGTCCTAATGGAATACATTTTAATGCAAAGGTTTGGAGAAGAGGCATTGAAAATGCTTATCCACACACGTTCACACACATGCAGTTCTCTTCCTACCGAGCAGTGTGGCCAGCGTCCTCATGTCCTTCTCCATCAGCGCGTAGACCTCCTCCTTAGAGAAGCGTCCGATGCCGTGGCCGTACATCTCCCTGCGCACCATGCTGCCGTTCAGGTGGCCCAGCAGCCACTTCAGAGTGCCGCTCAGAGGGCCGCTCATCGCCAGAAGCTTCTGAGTTTCCTCCAGGTTGTCCACCCACTGACAGTAGGCTATCGTCCTGAGAGAACACACACAGCAGATCGTGTTATTATTGATGATCTAATTGTGTCAGAGCAGGAAAGGGTCTGGCACCAAACCACTTATATCGCAGATCTTCTAACACTGACAGTCAGAGTCGAGTCTCGCTATAAAGAAAGAATTTTTTGCTCTTCTTCTTGCTCTTTCTTAGGTCTAGATTGCAAACAGAAGCTTTGTAGTGTCTGATCCTAAACAAAAATACAAAAGGTTGCTGAACCGTGGTTCTCAATCTGTGGGGCCCCACTGGTGGGGCATAGAGCCACTGCAGGTGGTTTGTGGATAACCAAATATGGAGTGGAACATAGTTGAATGTATACAATGTATGTTGCTGATGCTTTTGTGCTGACCTTTATTTTTACTAAAATTCAACTTGGATCCTTTTTTATAAGTTTGGGTTCTCTGACATTGTTAATGAATATTAAATATTTACACCAAGCCACCTTTACTTCCTTCAAAGTAACAATGAAATAAGAGAAGGGCAAAAAAGAAAACCCTAGTGAACCAGGGAAAACTTTGTGTACTACGGTGTTTTGAGTTGTTACATGTCAAATTCCGATATGTAGAGCTCCTCACAAACAGCTCTAATCCAAGACTATTTTTAGCAACATATGATAAGAAGCTATCATTTCAGGATACCAAAAGCAATCCCTTACGCCAGCACATAAATCCTTATCAGCAAATCCAGTCCTGAAAACACAGAAGCGATTGAGCTCATGGATCAAGAATCCAGGATGCACAGTAGTGTCAACAATAAGACGCTTTAATCTGAGCCCTTGTATCCTGTTACCAACAATGCTTTGTGTCCATCGACAATTAACCTCACCCTAATCAATAAAAGTGCACCACCGCATCCGTCCTTGCCCATTTATCAGCTGCACTGCTCTCAACTCGCTGCCAGGAGACAACATCATATATCCAGCCCTTTAAACTGTCAGGCGGCTGGGATGTACTTGAGGAAATGCTTGGCCCCTGCCTCCCATACAGACAGAGGTTAGAGAAGAAATGTGCACACATCCAGGAAATCCCATTATAGATTGGGATTAAAAACTGTTGAACAAAAGCACTCAAAAGCTCTGTGTCTTTGTTGAGTCATTCAGATTCCCTTCCTTGCTTGTGTTAAATTAAAAAAAGGGAACCTGGGCATCTGCATGAGCCATCCTGACGTCAAGCAGAGATTTGTCTCACAGCAGTAGACAGATCTGGTGTGTCTGTGTGCAAACAAGCCCGACTCAAATCCTCAAAATCCCTCTCTAATTCTGCTTCTATTGATCTGCGTCTCCTCCTTTGTGACCATTATAGATTTAATAAAAGAAACCAGTGACAGTTGTTTTAACTGCATTTATCTCATTAAAATACACACATAATGAAACGAGTAACTGTCCCTGATGTTTGCTGCATTCATTGCCGCCTCTGCTGTGTTCATGGTTTTCCAGGCAAGCTGCCTGTGCATGTAGACACTAACAAGATTAAGCTGCTATATCCTCATACACTTGCACTTTCTTACACCACCTTATTGGAAATATAGACTGAGCTTCCTCCTCAGCTCGTCTGAAAGCCTGGAACCCATGAGCCGTGACACAACTGTTCAAGGAGCTTCTGTCTCCAGCCTCCAGTCTTCTGGGTCACTCTAGATGACTGGTCGCTCAATAGAAATTGAATTAAAGCATCTGGGAGTGGTGACTGTCTAGTACTTCCTGTTTCATTATCTGATACACAAAGAAGATATACTACCCTTTGTTTCCAGATTGGGAAAAAAAACTGTTTGGATACAAATACACATCTGAAAGTGCAGGTAGCTAGAAAGGAAAATATTTAAAGGACCAGATTACAAACCTCTCTAATTTCAGATCTTTTGCAGATTATTCCATGCCCATGGATGAATAGTACTTTGGGCTTCCTCAGATCTGTTTAAAAAAAAAAGCAACCACTTGGAGGAATATAGCTCGTTATTACCAGAGATAGGCCACAGAGATATGTTGGAATATCACATCATTGCTTTAGAAATACAAATGCACCGGTTCTGTTGCATGCAAGGGGTCAATGATATCCAACCCACCAAATCATAAAGAATTATATAGTTAGTACGGGATTTTGCATTTGTAATTAAACGTAGAGATGCATGGCACACTTAATTTAAGGCTCCGTAAACTGGAGGAGGCAGCATGCATTCACAGTATGTCACCGTAATTAATCACAAGTAGCTTCCACAAGATTTAAGGGCATGGCCGCTTAGTGACAGGCGGGTGCCTGCTATGGGTGACATCACAGAGACTACGTCCATTATTAATGATACAGTCTATGGCAGAAACATGGTGGCCTCTGTAGATAAAAACAGCTCATTCTAATGTAACGAAAATACAATAATTCTTATGTTCAGGTGATTATACATAAATATGAATATTAGATTCCATTTCTGTCAATAAAGCCTCCTAATTACTACACAGTAGACTTTTGTGATAAATATTTAAAGCATAATATTTTATAAAATTTCCTTAGACAGCAATGGTGCATAAAGCACAGTTCTTCGGTGTCCTGCTATCTTATTTTTTATAGCAGCATCAATCAATCAGAAGAAGTGGCTGGTGGGAAACTGTGGGTGTATGACCTCACCTTCAGTTGCTGCTGCTGGCCTGCAGCTCTGTAGCCCTTAAAAGAGCAACAAGCCGCCACGCTGCCCTTCCCTCACATAAATAATTCAATCAATAGGTCTATATGTGGGTCTAAACATGGCCCAGGGTGGGTGGAGGAGCACAGAGGGAGGGAGGATGTACAGAAGGTTACATGAATGACCTCTAAAGCTTTGCAGAAATGTCATGGACTCTCACATCTATATTTTTCCCAATTACAACATTTCTAAGCACATCGTACTGTGAGGTTGCACATGTCACATCCTCATTTACTCTCTTTCTCAGTGGATAAAAAGAACTCTTAAATGGTCTGAATGTGAGGACCAAGATCCACAAGTTTTGCTCAAAATGTGTCCTGACATTATTAAATAAATGAGAAACAGGATCAGTGTTAGATCTGTGTGTGTGTGTGT